CCCCAAAACCCCAAAACCCCAAAACCCCGTTTGATAGATTTTTATGAAAGAAAGAGTTTAATGAAAATAATTCTTTTAAATTAACTTAAAGAATCGATAATAATAAAAATGAGAAGCAGTAACAATAATGACATAATGGAGACTAGTACTTCTACATACACAAAACCATTAAGTGGAAGCAGCACATAAATGAAGAAAAGGGCGGAGATGAAACAGTAGCAAGAATTCTCAACATCTTCCACCTTTAACGATAAGGATAACGCTGACAAAAACAAAAATTATACTCAAAATAATTATGGAAATATAAGTCCATCAGCTGAAGAAACTGTAAGTTTACAAGAAAATTTCATAGAGTTATAATTACTTAGGAGGCTCAGGCAGATGATATCAATCCAGTTAGTAAAGGGTCAATATCAAAAGAGCAAACTGATATTAAGAACTAGGACGCATTTTTTGAGGATTCTCAAATCACTGGGCTTTCTAAAAAACCAAACTTCTCAGTGGTGTGTATGTTGCCATCGTAAGTTTCACTTTAAATTATCTATTATAGAAAGTAGCCCCGAGCAATTAACAATATGATGAATCTGAATAAAGACAAGAAACACCAAATTATCGAGTAACAAACTCTTGAAAGAATACTATAAGTGTAAAAGGATTATATGTAAAATAAAAGTGGACCTTATTATATGAGTGGTAACTCTCATAAGCAATATAGAACCACACTTTAATTAGACAAGATTGGTCTGTGCGGCATTCCATCTCTTTGGATGTAAAAAGAAGAATTATTTCGTGAGAAGCACATGACTTCAGAAGTATTTAATGAGAGAGAACGAATAGATAAAGTTCTGAGAATCCTTTAAATCCATAAAAAGTATGAAAATGAGAAGTATTTTGGGGGATAAGGAATTTACAAAAGAGGTGTATAAGCTCTAACATAGGTTCAAGGCTGTTAGAGTTTCCTGAATCAGGATTTTGTCGTGTTTAGTACTGATATACTTATACAAAAGCAGAAAGGGCTGAATAAGGATGATAAGATTACGAGTTTAGTCAAGGATGAGGGATAGATCACTATCAATGGTGATAATTAGTAACAGACATAAGTTTTCCCTCAGATCAGGAACTTCGACAATCCTGAGTAATTTTTATTCAAGATTCTTTAAGCTGAAGCAAAATTAGTCCGAATGATACTAGAATCACATGGGTTTCTACATACTGAATCAAATGACTGGAATATTTTGTGGACCTGTACTTCTTCATAGCAAAAAACGTTTATGTACGAAAACTTGAATGAAAACTAGAAAATAAACCACTTTGTAAATTCATCAGAATTGACAAGAAAAGATCGATTATGCTTTAATGTTGGTAAAATGCAAATGAAATTTGGCAGGAATCACTTTGATTTCTTGCCCGAAACCTATATATTGCCTGATGAGTTTTCTGAATTTTACAAAACATTCAATTCTGTACCCAAGGATAGTAGCGACAAAAATCTCTGGATTGTAAAGCCTTCATCTAGTTCTTAAGGAAAAGGAATATTCATGATAGATGATATATCAGAAGTTCCACTTAATGAATCCTTAGTAATTAGCAAATATATTGGCAACCCTCTTCTTATAAATGGTTTGAAATTCGACTTAAGGTTATATGTATTAGTTACTAGCTTTGATCCTCTTAAGATCTACATATATAATGAGGGCTTAGTGAGATTCGCCAGCGAGCCTTATGATATTAGTAATACTAAGCAAAACGTATTTGCTCATTTGACAAACTATAGCATAAATAAAAAGAGCGAAAATTTTATTCAGAATAAAAATATTGCTTAGAGAGATTTCGGTAATAAATGGTCTCTCTCGGCACTGCAAAGTCATCTTTAAAAGCTAGGCATTGAAATGAAGATAGTCTGGGAAAGAATCTATGATTCAGTTATAAAATCTCTCCTTAGCATTGAACATCACGCGTATAACTAGCTCAAGAAGATCTAGAATGTGAATAACACCCAAAATAAATCCAATAGCTTTGACTTATTCGGATTTGACATTATTCTAGATTCTGAACTTAAACCTTGGATTCTTGAGGTTAACCTCTCTCCATCTTTAGCTTTTGACTCGCCTCTAGATTTCCATATAAAATCCAACTTAATTGTTGATGCCTTGAATATTGTCGGTATTAAGAAGTTCACCAGAAGGAGAGATTTTATGGGAAAATAGCTCAAAGTTAAAACTTCTGGGAATATTGTAAATAATTAGTAACTGCAACAATAAAACAATGCTAACAACGACCCGAAGAAAAGATATCAATCTGCCTTGAATATAAGTTAGCTTAATAATCACAATGTCAATTAGCTGAATAAAACAGACACCACAGGGATGACTATCTAAAACAAGTAGAATCTTATAGTAGATTAAGCAATATTGAAAAATCAATATGAGGGTATCGACATATAACATGTAGACAAACTCTCTAAAATAAGTGCAAAACATAGAGAGCTATTACGAGATCATTTGGAGGAATTCGCAAGAAATAGAAAGAATAATTTCACTAGGATATACCCAGCCCCAGGTTCTAGTTGCTACGATTAATATTTTGAGCAGCCAAGGTAACTCAATAAACTGCTGTATAAATATCTATATCAGTAAAATGATCTCTAAGACATTATAAATCAAATAAATAAATCTCAGCAGCAGGTTCAAAAATAGTTATCTGAACCTTATAGTGATGCATATTTATTAAACAACAACTCTAGTACTAATAGTATCTAAAAGTAAGAAAAGCCATAGGCAATACCTTAACAGTATCAAACTTTTAAGGTGACCACATCTGAAGTAGATCTATAACATAGATAAAATAGATCATCTTCAATGTCGAGTATAAAAAATCTCAGTAGCTCGAATATAAATATTGGTTCACCTGTGTAACTTAAAACTCCTCCTAGCGAAGATAAGTCGATCGAGGAACCAATTATGAGTCCTTTATCTAAGAAGAGGTTTGAAGAAAAGCGTTCTACTACTAGTAGTAAGAAGAAGGAAGTAGAACAGCCTCTAACTTCAGATAAATTAAGGACAAAGGATTTAGATACCGATGATTAAGTAAGCATTGAGGACAAAGTGACAATTACTGGTGATGACATTCTTATTGAATACGTCAAGAGGATTATGCTAGCAGTTAAGTAGTACAGCAATGAAATTACACAGTAGACAACAAAGAAAATTGAGTAGTTCTTACAGCATAAAGTGTGGTACTCGAAAAATCAGTAAAACTGACAGGCTGAATCTCAGTTACTATGGCAGAGAATTGAAACTAAATACATCGAGATGCTCGAAAGAAAAAGACGACTCTTTATTAAGAAGTAACAGTAAGATGGGATTACCTCAAATTAAAGTGATAAGCTATTTATGTAAAACGAGAAGTAAAAGGAAGACATAATCAGAGATTTTACATCAGGAGAATTAGAGTAAATGCTTATCCAATCGAATAAGAACAACTAAATAGAAGTTGTAAGCATTCTGCTATGTGGGCAGAGTTCTGTAGTTACTGGAATGTACTATACAAGTGGTATTCTTACAAAGATAGAAAAGGAATGTCAGAGACTATCTAAAAATAGCTCCTAAATGCTAAAACTAATGAAGATAAGTGTAGATCAGAATAATGACTTATCTTACTCTCAAGTTGAGAATATTTACACTTCTCCTAAAGATTCTCAATCTGATAAATCATAGATACTGACTCGAATGAGAACTTCTGATGATAAAGTTCAATCAAATCCATTCAATTATAAAACATAGCAAAGCACATATGACTAACTGCATAGTTCATACAGCCATTCTAACAACACTACTTCTTAAGGCAAAAATTCAGTACTCTACTAAAGTAGCTAAGTGGCTTCTAAATCCAATTTAATGCAATCCAAGTCAGGCAAGAAAACCACTTCCACTGTGGAAAGAGACCTCTCCCTTAAGGAAAGCGAGAAGAAGATCACACTACCTTCAATTAATAACAACCATCTAAGTCAAGACTACTCTCGTGTGTCAATTTAGTTGAACAATGGAGTACCTACCAATAATATAGGAGTTAATATTGAAAATAGCGAGAAAATGTCAAAGTACAGAACGCGGATGTCAAATGAGAAGTATTTCATTAAAAAGGTAAGGCAGCAGAGCCTACAAACTGAACAGAAAAAGTAGAGCTCTTTAAAAATTGCCAAAAATTAAGCCAATACAAAGTTTGAAAGACTAGAAATATGATTAATAATAATCACACTTATAAACTCATTCGTCTCAATAAAATATAGCTGATAAAGAATTAATTGATGATCAAATTATAAATAATAATTTAAGATTTCGATCATTAAATTTATTGAAACTTATTTATTCCCTCACCATACTTTTTATTCTGTTATACGGGGTTTTGGGGTTTTGGGGTTTTGGGGTTTTGGGG